TTCAACAAGAACAATCTTGAAGCTTGCTTTTGTCTGTTTATATTTTATCCTAATATTGGTCTTGCCTACTTGCCAGTTTTGCTCGTATGAAAAGATAGCTGCATCCAGTGTCTGATGTGAGCCACACATCCCTGCATCAACATACGTTTGCGGCCACCTCTCTTGGCAGGATGGAATGGGGAAATTTAAAGGGGGCCTGCTTGTTGAGGTGGGGGATCATATGGGGTATGAGGTCAAGGCGAAAGCCCCTCTCATCCCCAACAGACTCCAATCACTGCGGTTCTCCCAGTTGGCCTGTGAGAAAATTGCTCACTAGAGGATGGCTGATGTCCACAGGTGGCCCTAAACCAGTGACAGCAAACCTATGGTACATGTGCCACGGCTGGCACGCAGAGCCCTCTCTGTGGGCACACGAGCCATAAGCCGCTGGATCACTACCCCCAGCAGCCAAACCTGAGGAGGAGGCTGCAGCCACGGTGCTAGCGCCCCGACAGGCAGCAGGCCAGGATCTGGAGCAGCTGGTGCTGGTGGCAGCGGGCCGGCTGAGCTATAGGGAGTGGTGGGGTTGGGCACAACTGGAGATGGGTCTGGAGGCACCTTTGTGCCCGGGATTCCCCCTTCCGCCCCCACTTCTGCTTCTGTTGCCGCCGCCCGCTGGGTTGTGTTTTTGTTTTTCCCCAGTTTGGGCACTCAGGCTCAGAAAGCTTCGCCATCACTGCCCGAACCATGCACCCAAAGAATATTGAGCTCTATGAGAGGTATACAGCTGGTGCAAAACGTTTTCACCATTTGTCCCCTAGCCGCTACAGCCTGTATCAGCAAGTTTCTAGATCATCTACAGTTATTTATCTGTCAATTTCACTGTCTTTATGCCATGACAAAATGAGATGGGCTTTTCAAAATTCATGGACTATAGCCCCAGAAGTCTTTAGGAATTCCCCCAGCCAGACCTCTTGGGATTGTGTGTGTGTGGGGCCTCCAGATATCTGTGATCGCTTTCAGCTGAGACATAATGGCTTCTTTTGGACATGATGAGATTGGAGTTGATGAATGAGGGAAGCTAGGTTGATAGGCTCAGTTGATATATACTGCAAGGAATTATGGGCCTGGCAGTTTCTTTGCGTATTATGCTCCACACAAGGTGGGCTCTCAGGAAGCTACCAGGCCCATAATGCCTTAGTGTTCCCAGAGAGCTTAGCCTTGCCTAGTTACAGTGGTGCCTCGCTAGACAGTTACCCCACATTACAGTTTTTTCGCTAGGCGTTGGCTTTTTGCGATCGCTGTAGCAATTCACAAAACAGTGATTCCTTCGAGGGAATTTTGCTGGACAATGTTTGGTCCCTGCTTCGCAAACCGATTTTCGCTAGACAACGATTTTGACAGCTCCCTCCGCGCTCACAAACAGGTGTCTTTGGGACCTAAGCTTCGCAAGACAGCAATTTAAACAGCTGATCGGCGATTTGCAAAGCGGCTTTCCTATGGCTGATCTTCGCTAGACAATGACGAT